TCTCCCTCTATAAAAATATTCCAAAATGAAATATTCTCTAGGCACATGACAATACATGATCTTGTGTGTTACTTGAGTTCTACTAGTTCACTTCATGGCTTTTTTTTCTCGTGTGTTGCTACTTAATTTTGATTACTGATTTGTTTTGATATATATATAAAAACAATCTAATATATATTTATGGATGTTTTCTTGTGAACTTTAGGGGTGGATTGATGATGGGAGAGGAAGAGAGACTAGAGATCTTGAACCATCATAATCAACATGATGAAGAACAACAACATAGTTTCCAAGGAAAGATGAGACTGGAGAATTGGGAAGAACAAGTGTTAAGCCACCAGCAAGCTTCAATGGTGCCTGTTGACATCAAACAAGAGAATAGCATTAACAACAACAATGGTTATGTCATATCTTCTCCGAACTCACCTCTTAACAAATCTTGTGTTACGACAACCACAACAAGCCTCAACAGCAACGACGATAACAACACCAACAACAACAACAACAACAATAGTAATAACATGTTGGATTTCTCTAGCAATCACAATGGTCTTCACTTGTCCGAAGGGAGACGCACTCCCCCTGATCGATCCTCTGAGGTAACACTTCTTCTACATATCTCATATATTTTCATGAAATAAAGTTAAAAATAAAATTATTTAATATAATGTTATATAATGAGAGAAAATTCGGAAATAAGATCTAATTTACATACAAATTAGTAATCACACTATGAAAAAGTGAAATCTAATACGTCATTTAAAAAGAACAGGACAAACCAAGTCTTATTTTAAGGTTTGGATCTAAATTGAATACGCAACCAGAATAAGTTTTGCTATGATTTTTTTTTTTTGACTGATGACTAATTGGTCTTTGTTTTTGTTTGTTATCTATATTGGTGATGAAGTGTAACAGCTTAGACATTGGTGGGTCTACTAATAAGAAGCCGAGGCTACAACCTTCTCCTTCGTCACAATCAACCCTCAAGGTAACTAATTGATTATATCAACGAAACTTTACGTTAACTTACATGACGTTTTCTGTATATAAAATGATCTCCCTGACATCATAATAACAAAACAAAAACACAAACACAAAGGAGAACAGAAGAAGCAAACAAAACAGAATGGGCACAGAATAAGCTGTGTGGTTTTTGTGTTTTGTAACTCTTTTGTTCTTTCTTGTTTTGTCTTCTTCTTCCTTCTTCATTATTCCTTTTCATTAAAAAAAAATCAATATCAACGTACTCCTTTGATTCTAAACAATTAAAATCTATAGAATATATATATACATTCTGAGAGACTTCGGGTTTGCTTTTTGAAACGAAGAAATAGAGACTTTGGATTCAGTCTTATATAGTATAATGTGAAGTACAAAGTTATTAATCACACTTCTACTAACTAATTAGTAAGCACGTTTTCCTCTATGCATGGTAATTAGTAAAAAAAATACAACCACACATGCACATCTTGTATATAGAAAGCTTTTTAATTTATGCTATTAATTAAATATATGGTGATAATTAAAGGTGAGAAAGGAGAAACTAGGAGGCCGCATCGCAGCGCTTCATCAGCTGGTATCTCCATTTGGAAAGGTAAAGATTAGTTTAATTAACAAAAGCACATTTTATTAATGCCGTCTGATATATTATTCCCTTATCAAATCAACTTTTTAATAACATCAATATTAGTTTCATTTTTTTGTTAATCTAAATCATTCTTCTTCCTTTTTTTACCCATCTTTTGCAGACTGACACGGCTTCTGTCCTGTCGGAAGCTATTGGATACATTAGATTCCTTCAGAGTCAAATTGAGGTGTGTGACTCGTCTTTTCCAAACTCTATATATTCTCATTTTTCCTTTTGAGTAAAAAAATAATAATGCTAAAAGCTTAATTAACATCTAAAAATCAAAATGTGTCAGAGAAATAATCCAAGTGATTACTGATAAGTAAATTATTCCTACTCCCGTCTAATTTTTATTTTCATCTGTACACCATTTGCTAAGTATCTCTATAATAATTACAGTATATGAACATGCATCAGTATATTCATGGATGGACGAAAATTATGATGATTATGAAAAAAATAGACATATATCATAAAAAAGAGAGAATAAAGATAGTATAAAGTTTTGTTCTCTCCATGTTAAGTAATATATGATTGATGTGATTATATAAAAAGTATTTATGTTGTTTTTGCAACTGTTGCAGGCTCTGAGTCATCCTTACTTTGGTACGACTGCCTCCGGGAATATGAGGCACCAACAACAACAACATGTAAGCACCAAATTTAATATCCATACTGATATACACTAAACTATTTTTCTCTCATATATACTAAAATCTCTCTTCAACTATGGTTAGTTGCAAGGAGATAGGAGTTGCATATTTCCTGAAGACCCTGGTCAGGTGCGTCCATTATTTTTATTTTGGGGGTCATTATACTTTGTGTATATTATTATGGTTCACTATACTTTTTATTGGATCAATTGAATCCAAATCTAAAAATGTGGAAAGCTTTAGTTTACAATCTTTTTCTTCTTTTTACTGTTTTCTTTAAAGTAAAGTTGAATTAATATAAAAAGATGCAGTCGCCAGCTTTTTCCACCCTCCCTTACAGTATTATAACCAACAAAGTTCGTTAAAATCAACAAAGTCCCTAAATTTATTTAAATATATTTTTTTTCTTAATTGTTTTCTTCATATACGTGCATTTCAAATTCCTTTGGCGGTCATTTCCAATGAAATATTCTCCTATTACTATATTAACATTATGTCACTGTATTTTCCTATATATAATATATAATATGCCATATTTAACAACGAAAAAGTTTGTAATACTATAGATTTATGTAATTAGTAAGGTGGTATTGTATGTGTTTACTTTGTTATAACGTATAAACAATGCATAAGAAAATCTTAAATGACTTTATTAATTTTTTTTTTATGATATGGTTTTTAGCTCGTGAATGATCAGTGCATGAAGAGAAGAGGAGCGTCTTCGTCAACCGACACTCAAAATGCAAGTGAAGAACCTAAGAAAGATCTGAGAAGTCGAGGTTTATGTCTTGTTCCAATCTCATGCACACTCCAAGTAGGCAGCGACAACGGCGCCGACTACTGGGCTCCGGCACTCGGATCCGCCGGTTTCCACTGAGCCAAATGGGTTAATGCCACGTGGAATTCCAACGTTAGAGAGATGTTTTGATATAATATCACGAGCAGTCAGTCTACTGAGAAAACAACAAATTGAGTTTCCAAGGCTGATTGCTCATGATGCTATACAAAAAAGCACTTCGTTTAAAACACTTTTGCTAGAGAATTTGCGTTTGGCGTCTGATGTATATGCATTTGGCGTTTCATCATTTGATGTGTTGTCAGATGATGATATGACCAAAGTGATCATCAGTTTATGTTCTTTGTTAGGATACTGTTTGTCTTCTTCTTTTTTTTACCGGTTAATTGTAATTTGTGGTTAAGTACTTATTCTAATTACTTCCACGTGGTTTGTATCTTTAATTTGCTATTATACACTATAATCAAGATATATGTCTATTAATTACTCTATTGTGTGGACAAAAGAAAATCACTAGAAAAAAAAAAGCAAAAAATAGTTCAGAAATTGTGAATCTTATTTATTGATAGTTAATAATTGTACTCCACTTCATTAGTGAACTGGAGGATGGTCACAAACAAGAAGAAAATAAGAAAGAAGATAATTTTACTTTGATCATTTTATTTCTTCACTTCTTCTCTTTGGTGTGAAGATCATCAAAGAACTTCTTAGTGCAACCATTGTTTTACCCACATCGGAAACGCTACCGGAACCACCGCTCGTACCGGAATTCTTGGCTGCATCAGGTTTGGAGTTCTTAGCGTCCATGGCTTGAATCTTGATTTTTGTTTTCGAAACTAAACGTTTTGGTTATTTTATGTTAAAACGTGAAGTAGACTTGTTAAGGGGTTGTATTATTTATACGGTTACCACAATTTTCTTTTTATCAGATTGGTAATCTGTGACAACGTAAACTAATAGTCAAACTTGCATGGAATGTTATTACCGATGGAATGTTATCGTTTTCATGTAAATTGGTAACAGTTTCTCGTAAACGTGCGGTAATTTACTGTAATTAACTTAAAGAGTTTTTTTGACTTTGAATAAACATTTATTCCCAATTACATTTTATTTTAATTGATGAGTAAAAAGCCCAATACAACAGAGTTGGCCCATTACTTAACCCCAACCAAATAATCTTTGTCCACTCATCGCTCACGCGCTTATTTATTACGCCGGTTCGGTTCTGTTATTTGTAATTGTGAAATCTATGCATCGGTTTGGTAGAGTTTAACCTGTTTTTTCCAAATAAAATTTCTCTCAATTTTTTTTTAGCTGATTACTATTCCATCTTAACAATGATTATGCTATTTTTGTACCTATTGACAAGATTTAGAATAAAGCAATTTGTAGTTTACAATATGGTTTTCTTATAATAACGTATTTTAACGTTGAAGTTGCACTATGGACTGCAATAAATTAGTGTTGACGCATACTGTGAAAGATGTCTTTTATTTCCCCAAATGAGATGCGAAATGTAGCATCAAACTTTTGCAATATAACTTTCAAGATACGAAGAAATCGAGTTTTATCTTTACTTGTACATTTGAAATTTTGAACTCAGTTTATATATATCGAACTGAACAATGCAACAAATACAAATCGAAATGACACAAAAAAATAAAAAAAAAATCATAACATACAGTATATGATTAATTAATATAATTTCTCTTTTGCAGTGCATCATATTATTGCGGAACAGAATATAGTGGATAATGGGATTTATCCATAACACCAGATACAATAAAAAATTATTATATTGATCAAATAGATAAACATTATTATGTAGAACGATGACAAAATAAAAACACCATTACTTGACAGAAAATACAGAATCTTTAATTCCACCCAATAAAAAAGCAGCAGACCAACAACAAAAGAAATATCATAAACCACAGATATTGATATATACATAAATAGCTAATGGGAATTTCCATATTAATTCCTTAGTTAATGGACACGTACAGGTGGCTATAATTGGCTTATATAGAGATGCCTTCACGTCTAAGCTCTAATGTTCATGGCCCATTTCGAAAGCTCCTTTATGAAAACTCCGAAAATGAAACATTATTCATTAAAAAAATAATTGTAATGATTCACAACATAATAATGAAGCTCTAAACGTACAAATTAATACAAATGAAAAATAATATATAATAAACTAATAAAGAGTGGTTTTCTCTTTTTGATTTAAAAAACAAAGACTAGTTCCTTTTCAAAAACAAGGATTATAGTGAAATTAATAGATTTAGCCTTCTTGATACAATCAGATTTTGTGAATTATATGTAATAAGGTTAGAAAATGAATTTTGTGAAGGAAATGGAAATGGAGTGTCGTTTTCGCTAATAATTAGTTTTCTAGTAAAAAAAACTGCATGTCGCTTCCACTCCCTCTCGACGTACACGTGCTGTCGTTTTCGACTCAGTTTTGTGGCTACTGGCTCTACTAGGATTTTATATACAGTATAGTACTAATGGCTAGTACTACTACTACCTAAAGCAAAATTCATGGGTCTAATAATAAAAAAAAAAAGCAAAACGCTGGTCGATTACCTACGTACGTGTTTGATTCATGAAATGACATTTCATGGTGACATTTTTTACAAATGGAATATAGCATGTCGCTACACTGTGCATTATATCGAGAGTTTTATACGCAAATTATTATATGTGTGATCGATAAAACGAGACAAATGAAAAGCGGTACAATTCTCTTACGGCCTTATCAGTTTTGCCAGCACCATCCATAATGTTTAGGTGTGGCTCTCTGATCCGAACAAGAACATCTCTATTTATCAAAGAATAAACAACGTTAGTAAATGATATAAGAAACTTTGAAATTGACTAAAAGGCCTTTTTGTTCGAGATTGTGGTTATTAGTGTAGATTCCATTTGAAGGTATAAAAACATTACTTTCAAAATTAATAATTTGTGAGGGGGTGGTCCATTTGTGAAGTAACACGTATAAAATTTTTCTAAACGACAGCAAAGTAAATGTTAATCGCCACGTACGAAGATGACATTTTCCTTTAATGTGTTGGATCGCCTTAGTGGCTACGGCAACGGTCTAAATTTGCTATCAACTTTTAAGACATGACTCAATTAATATATCCAATTAGTTTATAGCAAGCTTTGGAGAACATATACACACTTAGGGACAATCTAATCATACTTAATGTTGTATTTGATTTGGACGTGATGTTATAAACGCAAAATCTTTAAACATGTGTGACATCTTGAAATCAGGTTATACTTTAAAGTACCTACTTAGTGGTAATACCGAAGTTGGACGGTTTCCATGTCGACATATCGACTTGCATGCCTAGAACTGCAATGCATAACACAACGCGCCATATATCTAGTAGTTATTGATTACAAGTATTTGTTAATTGTAGTCTATTTTAGAGGTGATAAAACTTAACTACAAAAGTCTTAAGAAAACGATATTTCCTTTTTAACTCTGAACAAAAAAGCAAAACTCACTAACCGATTTTGTTATAAGCAAAACTCACTAACCGACTCACAATCTTTGTAGATCAGATTGCCAAATTCGGTACTCATGACAAGCTCACGAATGATATTTTGGTTTACTTAATTCTTACTCTATGATTCACGAATGATATTCTGAAGTAGTCACTTTTGAAACATCCTAACCACCGTAGCTACAATTTGGTTGCTTACTCTATAGTTAAATCTCCTTTTGCTCTATTTTTCGTTTCCATCATCTAACGGTTAGATATGTATGTGTTATGATTTGTGGATAGCTTAGTTCTAATATAAAAAAATGAACACAAAAAGGAAGAAATAATGCAATTAAATCATACAAAGAAGACTTCTTCTTTTTTGCCATACGTACAAAGAAGACTCTTCTTTGTTGGCGACTACTCCAACCTCTTAATAAGAAAGAAATATCTTTTTCCCTAAAGTTGTGGTTTTAGGTTACTTCTCTTTACAAAAAAAAAAAAAAAAAAAAAAAAATTCTTTAAAATATCCTTTTTCATATATACTAGTTTCCTTATCCTTTAAATACCATCTACTCCCTCCTTCCAATGACAAATCCAATCTTACAAGAGAGAGACGACAACACAAAAGAAGAAGAACAAAAAAAAAACATATTCTCTCCAAAAAGAAAATATAGTAAAAATGGAAGCTTCGGAAGCGAAAAGAGGCTTATACATGGAAATGGAACAAAACGCTCAAGTCGCAGCCAAGAGGCTTTGGAAAATAGTCCGCATCGTCTTCTGCGTTTTGAAAACCGGTACGGTCAAAAGCAAGCTCATGCTTGACTTAAACCTAATGCTTAAGAGAGGCAACAAAGCCATCACTAACCTCCGCCGTCGATCTAGCTCCACCGGCGGTGCTGACGTCAACTCATCCACACGCGTCCGTGGCTACGACCCGTTGGCCTTTATGTGCAAACGCAAACGCCGCGTCCACGGCGGTTATGAAAACGAAGACGATGCGGTGGAGGCAGCGGTTAAGAAGGTTTTTGAGCTATTAGGAGAGAATGATACAAAGACGGTGGCGGCGACAGCCATCAGAGAGTCCCCGTTGATGATGTCTCCGGCTGTGAGACAGCTTAGGGTCACGGATTCGCCGTTCCCGTTGGAGGACGGCGGAGATCATGATCATGTGGTGGACAAAGCAGCGGAAGAGTTTATAAAGAAGTTTTATAAGAACCTTAAGATGCAAAAGAAGATGGCTAACACATTAGAGTCACCGTACCACGACGGATGGGTTAGATGATCCGAGCTCTTTTGTGACCAACTCAGTCTGTTCACTTTATGGGGGTTGAATTTGCAGAAGGAAAACCTAAGGACAAATTTTAGTATACATATATTGGGGTTGGGACAGTGTCGGTGAGTCGGTGATTTACAAGTTTTCTTAGATATGTTTTCATTTCAATGTCGAATACTCGTCGAATACATGGCTGCTATGTATATATATATTCCTATCTTAATGAGAAGAATCTATATAGGTGAATCTGCTAACCCATAGGTAACCTCACATTTTAACTTCGGAATAATTCACATAACATAATATAGATAACATTCATTGTTAAAATTTGCTATGTTAGCGGACGCAAACACTCAAGATTTTTTAAGAGAAACGAAAAGTAAAGAAAATAGTAATAATTAAGACACAATGTCGCTCTCAAGTTGTTCATCTACCAACCATAACGTTTCGTGCAATTTAATTCACTAAAACAGCTGGTTTTAGTAGTTTATACAAAAACTAGGTAATGTCCCGCGCATATGCGCGGGTTGTTGTATATTTATTTAATTATTTTAATTTATTTATTATTTATAAAAATAGATTAAATAAATTTTAATGCTTATGACATTTTTACATGTTATTTATTTAAATCATACAATAGAAACATACATTCATATCTTTTGAATTTATTCGTTGATTAACTGTTCAATTAATCAATTTTGATAGTAATTTTATTTAGTACTTTTCAGTATTTTTTGATAAAACAATAATATTGTTAATGATATAAATAGAAATGATATTGGGAGAATTTAGAAAATACCCTTTTAAAAATATCACTTTTTAAATTTACCCCATTTTCAAACTTTATCAAAACAACCACTAAAAATGTTGAAATTTATCCATATATGTGTGTAAACTTATAAATATACACAAAATTACCTTTATTTGTGTATAAAATTTTATTTATTTCAATGTCTTACAAATTGGTTTGAATATAACAAAAAATATTTTGTTAAAATAATTACATACTTTGAAAATAAAATAAATATACATGAATATGTGAGAAAGAAAAAACATATAAAGTAAAACAATGAAAATGGTTTATTTAGCTTGATTTTCTTATGGTGCGATGGTCAGAAATCAATATTTTTGAATCCATCGATAAAGTCATTTCCTTATAGCCATAAAATATTATTATACATATGTATTATACATTTAATAGTATAAAAAACAATGAAAAAATGAAGAAGAAATATAATTGAAAACAAAAGTTGTAACCAAATATATAATCAAGTTCTTACAATGATATCTTAATTGAGCTTTCAACCCATGCAAGAACATTAAAAATTAAATAAAGAAAATATTGAGAATATCATATATGGTGGAGGGGGATGTAAAAATGAGTATTTATAGGATAAAATATGATGTAAGTTACAATTCTGAAATAATTAAATCAGAGGAGTTATAATTATATTTTATAGTGTGTTAATTGAAGTTAAATGGAGGAAACAAATAGTCAATTGAAAGGTTATATAATTTAAGTTACAATTTAATAGTAAAGTGTGGATTTCAAGTATGAATTAAAGTATATGACTAAATGTGTTAGATATTTGGTTTAATTAAAAATAAATATTATAATTAAAAAATAAATGCTAAATGGACCAATAAGGAAAGAGTGAAACCTTAAAAATTCCCAAGAAATAATTTTATTTTTAATCTCTTTTTATATTCCTCTTAATTTAAGTTATATTTCTAGGTTTAATTATATTTTTCATCCTTGTACTATATATATAATAGATAGAAAATGGAATATCAAATTGTTTTTAGATAGGAAATCAAGTATAAAATTCAAAGTTAAAACAAATTATAATGTTCTTTGTATTATTACATGTTGAATCACAAACTAAATATAAGGATCATTATTCTTAAAAGAATGTCTTACAAATTGGTTTGATAATTATATAATAAAAAGTTTATTTTGTTAAAAAATTACATACTTTTGAAAATAAATTAAATATACATGAATATGTGAGAAAGAAACAAACATCCAAAGTAAAAGAATGAAGATGGTTTCTTTAGCTTGATTTTCTTATAACCATAAAATATTATTATACATATGTATTATATTTAAAAATATAAAAAACAATGAAAACATAAATAAATACATAAAAACAAAAAATAAATAAAATTGAAAACAAAAGTTTAAACTAAATAATTAATCAAACTCTTACAATAATATTTTAAATGAGTTTTCACCCCATGCAAGAACTTTTAAAAAAAACAAAGAGAATAATGAAGATATGAGATATGGTAGATAAGGATGTGAGAATGGCTATTTATATGATAAGAAGTGATGTAAGTTACATTTTTAAAATAATTAAATTAGAGGAGTTATAATTATAATTTATATTGTGTTTAATTGAAATTCAATAAAGAAAATCAATAGTCTTTGGAAATTTATATAATTTTCAGTTTCATTTTAGTAGTAAAGTGTGAATTTAAAGTATGAATTAATGTATATGATTAAATGTATTTTTTTGATTAAAAATAAATATTATATTTTAAAAAATAAATACAAAATGGAACAATAAAGAGAGTGAAACATTACTTATATATATATGATTTTAAATAACTTTCCACCAATAAGGCTTATAAAATTTGTTGAATGATATATGATTAAGTACTTTCATTTTCTTTGCCATTTGATTATAACTTATAGTGTAATTAAATTTTATATTGAATGATTGTCAT